TTGATTATTTGAAACCATATGGATATTAATAAGTTTAAGTTCAAATAAATTAGCCACTATAACATGTTTTTTAATACTATAATGAAGTTCATCTGCTGCAGGGTTTGCATGATCTCTTAAAGGTCTAAACTCTTGATTAATTTCAGCATTTTGATTATTTTGGTTTGTTATTTCTTGAATTTTTTTACCTTTTTTGTATTTTTGATTTTTTAAAATTTTTCTAATGGCCCTTTCTAAATCAAAGTCGTAGGGCACTAGTACTTTAGAACCTGAACTATGCATGCATTACTATAAAATAATATAAATTAAAAACACACAAACTAGAAATTATATAAAAACAATACTACAATATTCCTATAATAAATCTAAAAGTTTAAATAACACTTTCCAAAAATAGAAATTTGCTTTCTAAAAATTTCTTCAAAAATTTTTATTTTCCCCAACAACTGGCGCCAAAAACTTTGTCCCGATTTTATATGACAGTACAATGTATGTGATTATATTCTTAATTTTTCCTAACTTATATTTCTTACTTTGCAAAGGTGCCAAAATCTTGGGCAATTGCTAGGCAAAAACTTGACTTCAAAGCAAATAAGAATGCAATTATTATATTTAAAAATGGGACACTACACAAGTATAAATATTGTTATCAAGTAATATAGGACTTTTCGATTAAGCACCGAATATCGAACCCACAAGGAGAAATATAATATGTAAGAGGAGAAATATAATATGTAACTAGATCAGAAGAAATTAGATAACAATATATACTTTACAAAATATTCTTACTCAAACTATAGATGTTATAATAGGAATAAAAGTTCAATTCTTTTTGGTATTTTTAAATATTTCAAAATAAAGTAAACAAATAACTAAATTTAACTAGGTATTTGTAAGATGAAGGAAATATAAATAAAATATCTTTTTCCTTATCATGAATTAGTAATTGTGGAAGAATTCAAATTTTGTTGTGCCAAATAGGAGTAATAGTTTTCTTTACGCTCACTAGAGAAGCTATAAAAATCATTGGCTAATTTAAAGTTTGATTAGTCTTGAAGATGGGCTAGTTAGGGAAGATACTAGCTCTCACCCTACAGTTCTCTCTTCTCCCTCCACCTGGGGACTAACATCTCATATCAAAATCTAATACTATAAACCAAATTGGGGGCTTTATATTGTCACTCTAAAGTCCTCTAATTCTACACCCTTCAAAGTTTATTTCTCTATTTATTTGTATTTAATCATATGAATTACATTCTCATCCATACAATCTCATGTGATTCTTACCATTAGTTGAATGAGACAATACCATCACAGATCTTACATGTTCTCACGACAAATATTAACATCTTAATTGGTCAAATCAAGAAGTGGATGAAGTACGAAGTTTAAAATTATCACTACTTCTTTCACAACTAACTCCAACATTAAAGATTAACACTTCACACAATTTTCATCCAATACTTAGTCACTTATCATTTTAAGGAAAAAGATAAAAAAGTAAAAAAAAATTACTCATAATTCATGGAGAAAACATAACCACACTTAAGTTTGAAAGTAGAAATCATGCAAACAAACAAGAAGTTTAAATAAAAACCAAATGTAGTCACAAAGATAAAAACTTATCTTAAATCCTCTCCACCAAACTCTTGAAGTTCCTTTGAATCTCTTCTCTTCCTTTCTCTTACAATACTCTTTACTCACTCATTACAACTCCTCTCCTTCTTCTCCCTAAAAGTATCCCAATTAATCTAAGAGAGAGAGAGAGGCGTCGACGATGTTTAAAGGAGGGCGGCGACTCCTCTTCAATTCAATTCAAGTCTTTTTTTTGTAATTTTTCAAAATATGTCTTGGTGTCACTTCAAAATGTATCCACATTCAATGAATCTTTCAAGAGTTGCCTTCTTTCAAAAACCAATTGAATGTATTTTCATGTCCATTAACTATTACCCACGTTTTCACTAAGAGTTGCTTCAAATACCTCTTCAAAAGTTTGTCCAAATTCATTGAATCATCAAGTAACTACTTCTGAAGCTTAAGCGCGATGTACTTAGCGCTTAAGCGTAGCCTTCTCGTTTAAGTGTCAATTCTGGGCACTATGGCGCCACATTTCTTTTGCACACCTCTTCATTTTTTCACCAAATTTGATCATGTTTCACTCCTTTCACCATTTGTCATTAATTTGATTGTACCTGAAAAAAAAACAAACAAATACCTTCCATTAAAGCGCAATATCTCAAAAATAGGTATTAAAATGTGTACATAAAGACTATATATTTTAGGTGTATCACAAACCAACACAACTGCCTAGGCCAACATGCTCTGAGCAGAACGAAAAGAGAGTGAAGATGGTTTCCATTGGAAGTTGGCAGGGACTCTCGCCAGGGATCAGTGGGTGTACCTTCTAATTGCCATCCTTAAAAGTGGGTTTCAAAGTTTGTAAAGTGATTTTGTGCTCGTTATACCCTTACGAAGGGTTGACCTATGAATTCACGGAGACAACCATCGAGGAAACTGACGGTCGCGACAAAGATTCGATTCGATGTTTAATTTTTTTAATGTTAGTTGAAATTTAATTTAATTTCTATTTCAACAAAATTTCGAGAATTAACAATGTGTGGAGAGATCGGGTCGAGATGGAAAGCACAAGGAGTCGCATCCAACTCGAAAGGCCAATCGGGGAAAAGAAGCGCTACGTTGGGAAGGAAAGCTCAGGGACTCACATCCAACCCAAGAGGCAGCGACAGGTGCGGAGTGAATGAGAATAGGATGTCTTACTCCATTTAAGGTAGTCTTATACCTATCTCGAACTGCTGAGAATGTCTCATTAAGAAAGAAAACACAGGGACTCACATCCAACCCTAAGAATGATTGGTTTTATAACTCTCATCTTTTGCCATTATATTGATATATTTTTATTAACATTATAACTTATTTAAATAAATATGGAGCGATTTATATTTTCAGGCGTTTTATTTAAACTTGTCCTTCGACAATGTCAAAGTCTCTGTTTTTATCCATCATCACTCATTGGATCCTTGGAGAGAAGGCATGTGATTATTGATTAAAGTCTGTGGTTTGCATTTGTGAATTTAGAATAAGTTTTAATTTTTCTTTTTTTTGGATTTTTCTTTTTTATGTGATATTGTAGAAATGAATGCGGAGTGATTGTATATTGGAGTTTCTAATAATTAGGATGTCTGGTTGTTCTAGACAAAGTGAGAATTTCATGGGGTAAAAACATTTCACGATTTGTAGGAGATGTGAGAAGTCTAATAGCATTTGCTAGAAAAAAAAGAATTGAATAATTTGATGTTTAATAGTTGATGCACATGATCCTTTGGAAATTATGAGGAAATTAATGATATGGGTTGAAGATGATCAATATGTTGATGGATTCCATTGCTTGAGCAGGAGCAGAACAACTGTAATTGCATAATTAATGTTGCAATTATTAGTTGTAGTAGTAGTTCAAAATGCCATTGGATTGGATTGAAGTGTTTATACGAGAATATAGTGCAAGAAAATTTGTGCAACAAAGCTATTGCACACATTAAAAAATAAGGTCGACATAGAATGTGTTCTACTTGGGTAATAATACAAGGGTAAATGCATTTAGGAATCAAAATTCAAAATTGTTAATGTTGAAGCTCACAATGTGAAATTGTCTTTTATTTCATTTTCAATTGTAAATTGAATTCTTATTTTTTGAGTCTCATTCTATGAAGAATTTCAACTTTTTGATATGAAAACACTCGATGTGCGCTTATAGCTGCTACATGAGATTGTTGTGGGAAATTAAAGTTATTATATTATATATTAGATAAATCCATATGTTACATCAATTTAAAATGAGAATTTGTATAATCTAATTTTCCAATAATCCATTAGAATTGAGGATATTCTACCTTTTTTTTAAGGGGCATTTACATACATTGCACAAAATTCTTATGTTTTTACTTATTTTATATGCAAACTTAGATATTTACACACAAATCACTCAAATATTTAATAGCATAGCAAAAAGAATACATTTACTATTTTTTAAAAGTGAACACACTTTTTTATTCATAGGTTTAAAGAACCAAAGTTTTATGTCAGTAATTACAAAAGTTTAGTTGTGAGATATGTAAATACATAAGAATTGTGTGCTATGTATTCAAATTTCCCTTACATTAAGAACATCATCTATTCCTTTTTCTTAATATAAGTAGGTTCATACAACCATTTTAATTTGATGATATCAATATCTAAACTTTGTTGTTTTCTCACAATACTCCTTCATGATATGGGATTGATGACTTACTAAGAAAGAAAAGGTTGGATTGGTCGAGCGTTGGTTGAAACATTCATTATCCTTTCCAAGAAGGCATGCACTAAATAATCTCCTTGATTGATTGAAAAATATTTCAGCAATTACATTCCTTGACGAGCCTGATGTACCCGCTCATGCCAGCAAGGCTTAGAAGCTGACTAAAAGCCAACAACAACATTCTAACACCGAAAATGTCCTTATTTGATGAATATGAGGCACCAACTCAATGCCATAAATTATGAAGTGAGTGTATCTGACAACTAAATTATTAGATGATCAAATTATCAATAATATGATTTGTAGCCTACATAATGTTACCTTCATCAAAATTTTTTTAAGAAATAAAAGGGTGCAAAGTTGATATCAATCTCTTCTCTTCTGTATTGTCATTTAACACCATTGACATTCACAAATTGGAACCTTATGGGAGTCATCAAGATTATGAGATCATGTAACTGTCAACATTAGGATCCCTAGATGATAATGTTGGAACCTATGCCTGTAGAAGGGAAGCTTGGGATGAATTAAGTTTAGCCTAATTTATGGTCTTAAAGACTAATTATTATCAAAATGATGCATTTTTGGTCCCCATAGATTTTTCTTGTTGAATAAAGACACATTCACTATAATTCTCTAAATCAACCTCTGAAATAATTCAAAAGCCTTTGAGATTTAATACTGGGTGCTTCGTTCTCTGAATAACCATGCGAAATTAACAAGTCGTTGCAATGTTATTGCTTATGTTCACTAACAATATTTTGCTGTGTGCTGCAGAGTAGGCCATGATTCCACCTGTTAAGTGATATTCGACAATAGTCACATAGAACTAGGATCAGAATGACAGGCATGAAACACTTACATTTATACATAGCCATCTACTAATTCCAACAAGAGCTACATTGAAATATTCACCAGATGTAGGAATTCAGAATAACTTTCCTACAAAGGCTTCTTAAAATTTTGGCAACGGCTGCTCATAACTCGGCATGGAATGGTTTATATTTACCCAGAGATACGATGATTCCTTCAACAGAACCAACAGCTGCCGCTATAGACACAAGCAAGCAAATAAAACTCAATATCTGCAGAAATATTCCCTTTGTGCTCAGCCTTGCAATGTTCTTCTGTTTCATGTACATTTCAATGGGAAAATACACAGTCAAGGGCCAAAAGCCCACTGCTCCGAGAAATCCCATTATATCGTTGAAGAAAGGCATGATGATTGCAAGAAGCGTGCTCGTCACAACAAATGCAGTCCTCCAGATTAACCTGAACAAGTTGATTTTGATTGGATAATATCTCCAGCTCGTATCAATCATTTCTTTGTTCAATATTTTCAAGTTCGGCCATTTTTGCTTGACACAGTTTTCAACGGCCGCAAAAACAGGTTGGCTGAACACCTATTTATATGTTCATCAATTAAATCCGAGATTTTCAGATAAAAATGGAATAGCTTTGAGTTATTACTGAAATAAGCAAACCTGGTATGCTCCTAGCAAATGAACCACTATACATATATTGGCAATATCAATCAACCAAAAAGGCTCAAAAAATCCAAACCCAGTAAGCATGTTTCCGGGAGCCTTGTTGCCAAAGGCTGCATATCCAAGGCAGCCACATAGCATGTAGAACACTGTGGTTGTCAAAACACCTATAAAACTTGCTTTTTTCATGACTTGGTTCTCAGCTGGTGTCGATTTCAGCGTATCCTGAATGTTTTACAGAGACAATAATGAAATTAATGTACATATGTTTCATATGGTACTAGAATTTTTTTTCTTTTTTCTTTAGTCAACCTGAATTTCAATTAACACCAAAGAGTAGGAGTACGCAAATGCAATATCTCCAAGTGCCTGGAAGGCATTCCAAATCTTCTCCGCCACCGTCACGTCGACGCCAATCTCGGTTCCGGTGATAGTAGTGGTTCCACCCTTTCCTGCTCAAAGAAGAAATTCAAATTCAATTTTTGACTAAGGAAAATTACTCCATTGATTCAAGTTGTTTGACAAACTTCTCTACCTGAAACAGTTTGGGCCAGCGCAAGCCCAACGCCAATCAGCGAATATGTGAAGGACATTATAGCTGCCAGCATGGAGAGCCACCAGAGGTTATGGAAGTCCGGGAGCTGAGAGAACAAAATTTGAATCACGCCAAAGGAAATCATGTACATGCTATAGGAGATGCTGCAATCCGCTTCATGGCCATTCTTGTGGAAACAACGAGACTTGCTAATAGCTCTGCAACCATTACATTGCCCTCACATGGATCAAATCATTGATTTTCTTATTGTGAGAAACTGGCATTTAGTGCAAAATTGGAGCTTACGCAGCGCTAACGGAAGCCGTGATGGTGTAGCCAACCGCAGTTCCACAGAGATTGACATACTGACTCAGCCCACACATCCATATTTGAGCTTTCCCTGCATCGCTTAGCTTTCAGATCAATTTCTTATAATCAATTTGAGGAACAAAACCAAGCTGTTAATTATGTGGAGAACAGACCGAGATTTGATTTGACGGCTCTCATATAAGTTGGGTTCCGTTTGCCGTTTGTAGGATCGGAGTTGCGGTAGCAATCGGCCAGGAGGCGGGAAGTGTAGAGGGTGATAAGGGAGAAGAGGATGAGGGTAATGGGCCCGATGATCCAACCAAGCTGGGCTATGGCCCATGCAAGTGATAAAACTCCGGATCCGATCACTGCAGTTATGATATGCGCGCTGGCTGTCCATACCGTGCCTGAAAACTCACTCACAATCGTTTTATTTAGTTATCATCAAGAAAAAAAATTAATCAATTGCCTCTCAGATGTTCTAGATGATCTACCAAGCTGTTAAATTATCAGACAAGTGTTAGCCACAAAAAGCCTTCAATGAAAGTAAATAACTCTTTTAGTCATTTTGGATCATCAAGAAAAAAAATTAATCAATCGTCTCTCAGATGTTCTAGATGATCTACCAAGCCGTTAAATTATCAGACAAGTGTTAGCCACAAAAAGCATTCAATGAAAGTAAATAACTCTTTTAGTCATTTTGGTAATGACTGGTAGCCTCCGTTTTCCACCCAATCTAATAACTTTTGACATTATTCCAAATAAATATTTACATATTCTCCAATTTAAAAAAATAAAAAAGAAAAAGGACATTGACTCTGCTTTCTTGGAAGGAGAAGCAACGTGTTAAAAATGAAAAGATATTAATGATTTCTCCTCAACACCGCATGCACTTCGAAGAAAAAGGCTTCTGAAACCTCGACTTCGAATCCAACCCCGAACGCCGAGGCATACTCCTCAATGCAGTTTTGGTTAATGAAGCTGTTTAGGTGTGTAAAGATAGAATGATGCTCCTCTTAAAAAATTGAAGTTTTACACAGTTTTGGATTTTCACCCGTTACATATGGTCTTTCAGGAATTTTTTCTTAAGTTATAGTTCGGGAAAATTCAGATTGAACGACGCCGCGATGTTGGAGACAATATTAAGTTGCTATGGAAGCTTGGATACAGAATGCATCATTTTCATTCCATGATTACAGTGAAATATATAGTGTTCGATAAATCATCTTAGAAACTCCAAAACCATAAAACCCCCGGAGATAATAAAACCAGAACGGTGTTGGACTAAAGAAGCTCCGCTCCATCCATGCGTTGGGTTAAGGAACCAGATGCAGAAGAATGAAAGGGAAAAATAAAATAGAAGCAACTAATTCTAGCAAATCGAAGAAGAAAAATGATGGATAAGAAGAGGGGAGATAAACCTGTCCTCTTCGGCCGGCCATCGTCGTCAAGCTGTTGGCTGGCGTTCGGTAACTGCATGCTCATCTCCGGGATCTTTCTCTCCGAAAGCTCTAGGTTTTCTATCTTCTCCTTGGGCAGAGTAAATCAGTGCGGATTTGCGCTGGGTTAAATATACGCTACGCTCTGTGGACCTTAAGGTAGAAATTAGTATGATACTTTCATTCTAGTTCACAAAAGTTAGAAGGTAATTAATTTCACATAGGCGCCTCTGCTAGAGCTGGACTCTTGCTTTCCATGGACGTAACTTTTAAATCTGATTGTTTGACCTAAATGTTTCTTCAAATGCAGCCTTATTAGAGTGAGTAAAATGAATAAAAAAGTTAGTTTGATGTGATGGATTCAAACTAATTTGATTTGAGTTGTATAATATAATAAAAAAACAAAGAATAATGACATGTGTGAGGATTTAAAAGATGAAGTCGGGATATTTCACAAATTGCAGGAAGACCAACCATTAGAGATTGACAATTTAGCCGGTAATAGTTTCGTATTTCAATTGGTAATCAAAATTTTCGGTTGAAATATGTTAAAACTCATCACAGGGTGAGAAAGAACATAGAAAGATGATAAAAATAATAATAATAATAAAATGATAAATATAATAAAAAAATCTCAATAAATTATCCACAATAGGCATGTCTCCAGATTAAAGAAAATAGTACCAAAATCAATTCCTATGTATTTATATATTTAACATCTAAATCTCAATTTTTACATGCAAACTGTCTTACTTTTACATGCAAACTGTCTTACAATTTAGTCGGTAATAGTTTTATATTTCAATTGGTAATCAAAATTTTCGGTTAAAATATGCTAAAACTCATCACAGGGTGGAAAAAGAACACAGAAAGATGATAAAAATAATAATAATAAAATGACAAATATAATAAAAAAATCTCAATAAATTATCCACAATAGGCGTGTCTCCAGATTAAAGAAAAATAGTACCAAAATCAATTCCTATGTATTTATATATTTAACATCTAAATCTCAATTTTTACATGCAAACTGTCTTACTTTTACATGCAAACTGTCTTACAATTTAGCCGATAATAGTTTCGTATTTCAATTGGTAATCAAAATTTTCGGTTGAAATATGCTAAAACTCATCACAGGGTGAAAAAGAACACAGAAAGATGATAAAAATAATAATAATAATAAAATAACAAATATAATAAAAAAATCTCAATAAATTATCCACAATAGGCGTGTCTCCAGATTAAAGAAAAATAGTACCAAAATCAATTCCTATGTATTTATATATTTAACATCTAAATCTCAATTTTTACATGCAAACTGTCTTACTTTTACATGAAAATGTTGAATTAATTTTGGGACTACAATGTTAATTAATAAATGTGTTGGGTCATCATTTAATAAGTCAAAATTATTGTGGTCTAATTTAGAATTAAGTTTATGACTTTGGGCACATTTGTCATGATATTATAGTGTGGATACCATAAGTGCAAATTCTAATTTGATGAGGGGCAGAATTAGAATTAAGCAAAACTTTTTTGTAACCGCCTGGTAGTTATTGTAACCGCCTGGTAGTTACTTCAAAGGGTGATGGTCCCCAATTTGCAGAGAGACACATCCCTTTCTTGCACCATACCTTGTGCAATCGATCTAATGGACTCCGGTACGCTTCCGCTAATCTATGGTTTATTTCTCTTGAAATAGAATGTGATTTTTTTTAGTCCGAACAATTGGTATCAGAGCCAGGTTCACATTCAGTTTTTTCTTAAGAAATTTTTTTTTTCGATTTTTTGGCCCTTAGCCATTGTTGTTCACAAAATGTTGAATTAATTTTGGGACTACAATGTTAATTAATAAATGTGTTGGGTCATCATTTAATAAGTCAAAATTATTGTGGTCTAATTTAGAATTAAGTTTATGACTTTGGGCACATTTGTCATGATATTATAGTGTGGATACCATAAGTGCAAATTCTAATTTGATGAGGGGCAGAATTAGAATTAAGCAAAACTTTTTTGTAACCGCCTGGTAGTTACTTCAAAGGGTAATG